CTCCCAAGGGTCGCCAAATAAAATTCTTACAAAGAGTATCAATTTCTTTACAAACAGATTTAGGGAAAAAGACAGTTTGCATAAAATAATTAGGGATGCTCATAATACATGACTGAGCAAAGGTAACTCTATCAGCCATAGATAACGAATTTATTTTCTAAACAGAAAGTTTTTTCCTAATTTTATCAATTATGAAAGCAAAATCATGTCTTAATAATTTTAAATTACTGAGAGTAAGATTTAAAACTAAGCTTTGTACTCAATTCCATAGGCAGACCAGTATCACAATTTTTAGAAAAATACACAAGATTTATCTTTATTGATAGACAACCCAGAAGCATAACATAATTCATTCAAAACCTCATAAATAACCCCAGCATTCAAATTATCAACTTTAACAATCAAAATAATATCATCAGCAAAAAATAAATGAGATAGCCTAAGACCCTCATTACTAACAGAAAAAGGGATCCAACAACCACTATTAATTTTATCCTGAATAAAATGAGCAAATCTCTCAAGACACATGACAAATAAGTAAGGGAAAATGGGATCCCCTTGCCTTATACCCCTGCCAGGTTTAAAAGATTCAGTCCTATAACCATTCTAGTTTAAAGACATAGATACAGAGGACACACAATATCTAATAATATCACACAACTTATTATTGAAACTTATGTTCTTAAGTGTATCTGCAATAAATTGCCACTTAAGCTTATCATATGCATTTTCTAAGTCAATCTTAATAACCATGAACCTACTACTAGCCTTCAGGGTATTAATAGAATGCAACAACTCTTGCAAGATAATAGTGTTGTCAATGCCTTGTCTCCCAGGAATAAAATTGGTTTGGCTGGCAGAAATGATATGAGGCAAAGCGCCTCTAATTCTATTGGCTAAGAGTTTAGTTATAAAATTATAACTAACATTGCATAAAGAGATAGGTCTAAACTATTTAAGAGAATCAGGATTATTAATTTTAGGTATAAGGGTAATTGTTGTATCATTGAGGCAATATTATTAGGGTTATCAAATATATCAGATACAAATTTACAAATAAAAAAGGCCAAGACCTCCAACTGATTTTTAAAAAGTAGAACATGTAACCCATCAGGGCCAGGGGCTTTCATATTGCCTATACTAAACAAAGCAGCTTTAATTTCATTTAAAGACAAATAAGCGTTTAAAACTAAGTTATCTTCTGCCCTAAGAGAAGGAAATCTAGAAATAGTATAGAGAGAATACCTATCAGGATTATGATCAATAAATAAATTCCTAAAATATCTAACAACTAGGTCCTGAAGCTTGAGAGGATCAAATTCCAAAGAATTATCCTTATTTCTAAGGGTACCAATCTAATTAGCAAACCTACGATTGATAACAACTCTATCAAAAAATTTATTATTCCTGTCTCCTAGCCTAAGCCAACTAGATTTATACTGATGAGCCCAAAAAACTTCCTCATAGTCCAGAATTTCTTGATATTCTTTTCACAAAGAAAGCATCAAATTATTGAGGAAAGGGTTATCCTGAAAGGATACCTTACAATGTATTCCTTAAATCCTATTTAACAATCTCATTTTTCTATTAAAAATGTTGTCAAACACAGTATGATTCCAATATGATATATTCCTAGTAAAGTTAACAACATTGTCAACCCAAGACCGAGAATTAATCCAGAAATTTCTAACTTGGATATTAAAATCCGTATGGAACAGCCAGGGAGTTAGAAACTTAAAAGATTTAGACTTAGGAAACCAGCTATCCTTATTTTTAATTCTCAACCATAAAGCTACATGATCATATTTGGGTATAGGAAGGTGAATGAGTGAACTGTTTTGAAAAAGCATCCTCCAAGAGTCATTAACCACAACTCTATCTATTCTTTCATTAATATTACCTCTTTGCCAGGTAAAAGGACTTCTTTTAAATTCCAAATATTGGAGGCTGCAAAAGTTAAAGCAATCAGCAAATTGTCTCATGAGATTCAGGTTAGCAGATCTGCCTCCAGACTTCTCATTTTTAAAGAGAATGGAATTAAAATCCCATGCAAGGCACCAGGGATAGTTTATAGTAGATCTAAATTCAGAAAGCAATTCCCAACACTTAGCCCTCAAACCCTCTTGAGGACTGACATAAACAGCAGAGAGAACCCAATCACTCTGACCATTCTGAATTTTCAAGTGAATAAAATAATTGTTCTTATCTAAGATGTCAACTTTAATTTTCCTAGAATTTCAGCAGCACTATATGCCCCTAGAGAACCCTACAACATCCATTTTAACAAAATTATCTAGGTTAAATTTCTTAATGATAGAATCAACTTTAATAGAGTTGACCCGCGTTTCAAACAAGGCCACAAACTCAAGACTATGAATATTAATGAGATCATTAATAAGTCTAAGAAAGGTTTTTTCCCCATGCACCCCTACAGTTCCAAAATAAGCAATTCATTAAGAATTAATAAGAAGATTTTGATACATCCTCAGGATGTTGGGCAGCTCTTAACACACTACTTTTAATACCTATAAGATTAGCCTTTTTATTGTCATCATTACTAGAATTATCTAATTCCATTAACAAGGGAGGATCTGGAGGTTTATCAGGAGGGATATGAGCTAGATGGTCTCTGCCCCTCCATAAAGAATCAGAATTTAGGCCAATAATATCCTGAATACTATGCCCTAGATCCTTATTATCCTGAAGGCCTTTTGCAAAAGTAGACATAAGTCTTAAATCTGCCATATTATCCTGACTATAACCATTATTTCAAAATTCATGGGAATTGCTAGTAGTGGTGGTCTTACCATAACAGCCACCACCTTATTCTTCTGGGCCAAATTTAGCCCCACTTGAGATAATCTTACCTCTAGGTCCTTTCTTAGCTTGATTTTCTAATTTAATGTGATTAACATACTTACCTATCCGCTTATTTGCAGCTAAATCCTTAGAGGCGAGGGCTTTACTTGGGTAACCTTCAGGTATCTTTTCCTGACTGACTCCTGGAACCAGAGATTGATCCTCTACATTTGTATCTAAAACATTGTATCTAGATCCAAAGATTAAGTCTTTAGATTTTCCATTTTTAACACTAGGTCCAGTAGAGGAAGAGGAATTGGGTTTTTTCCTAAATTGTTTCTTAGCTAACATCCAGGAACCAAACTGGCTCTCATGATCCTCATCTCCATTTACATGGTTATCTAAATCCATATCCTTACTCAGTCTTGACTTACCCTCAATGTTATCCTCACATTTGTGTAAGTTATTAGTATTTGTCCCCTCATTTCCTAAATCAGGATGATTATTCCTAGTCATATCTACACATTGTTCTTGTCTATGCCCATACTTACCACAGGAAAAGCAAATCAGATACAAACCCTCATATTCTACCTTAAATTCCTGACCTAGGGCCCTAAAAGCAGGAACCAATTTCTTCCTAAAGTCTATCTCAGTACAAATTCTAGCAAATTTACCTCTGGACAGTAAAGAGGTATAGGGGTCTATTTTAAGCATGTCATGAATTCTGACCCACACTGCAATTTTTCTAAGGAAATAGTCTTTGGTCCTAAAGAGAGGCATTCACCTCTACACCAAAAGATAGTGGTCAAGAATCAACCATGGGCCATCAAACAAAGCAAACTTGTAATCATCTAAGTTTCCAAATTTAACTAAGAAGAACTCACTATTCAAATCTAGAATTTTTAACTACCCGTTTTCTCCCTAAATATTATTTAGTCTCTAACTAAGAAAATTATAGCTAACAAATTTACCTATGAGCTTAACTATCAGAGTAAATTTCCATGGATTACACCACCCCTCATAATCTTCTAAAGGGATCTTGATATCGGGACAAAGATTTTAAAGCATAGAAGAAGATTCATCATGTTCATCTAACTTAAGAACAATATTAAAATCATCCAATATCGATTTTATAATATCATCATCATTTAAAACAAGATCAATATCACGAGACCTTAGCACCTTGTCCTTATAAGAAGAATATTCAGAAAGGTTAGGATTATGAACAAAAAACATCTGATCAGTCGTCAGAGCCTCAAGGCCAGGACCTTCTTGCATATAACCCTCTAACGGATCTAAAAACACATTCAAAGCAGTCTTCACCTTCTTCGAGTTTTGGCCGTCTAGATCTACCCCATCACTTGATCGTTTTTCCACCTCGCTTCACTCCATCCTTCAAAAGCCACTGGAGCAGTGGCAAAAAATCAGCACTGAAAGATCACAAAAAGCCCTTCTTCACAGAGGACTCAGGCTTAGAGAATGATAAAAGCACAAAGGCCCTAGGGCGAGAACCCTAGCGACGCCTCTCCACACTTTGCTAAAACGAAAGAAAGAGTCTTGGAGCCCAAAAAAACCCTAGCAGGGCATAAGAAAAAGACACAGTGCGATCACTAACTCTTTCTAGAGATATAATATGATTGCATTATATACATTTTATATTTTCAAGTGTATATTTTATCTTTAACTCTTTATAATTACGTTTGCTTAACTCCTTTCTTTCTTTTTTTTCATCTTAGCTAACAAACAATTGTCATTTTTCTGTTCTGAAATTTTATATTCACCGGATAGCTTTCTAAATCTATTAAATTTTAAGAACTGGAATAGACCTTTAGAGAAGTAGAATTTAAAGAAGGAATTCTTAATGGGAAGTTCAACAAGGTGAGGCTAATCTCTTTAACAAAAGCACTAATTGAATTATGCACATTAGGTTTCCATAAAACTATTCACGTTTCTTGCCTGCTTGTCTAGTGTCTTAATTTTTTTTTTGGCGGGAGCATTTAGTAGTTATTTGGCATATATTCCAACCAAACATATTTTATCAAAATAATTGAGTTAAATTTTATAGGCTTAACTAAAATGAAGCAGCTTCTGATTTTTACATTAGACATATCAAACTTTATAGGGTCTTGGTACTACAAAGAACATCGCTTGTCACAACTCACACATTGAGCATTTAATGTAGAGATTCATTTCCCACCTAGTTTACTCACAACTCACATTTGTTTATAGTTGCTAGTACTTAACACTTTGATAGTACATCTACTAAATGTTACTAACAAGATATAATATGTGTAACTTATTAATGTGTTAAATTGTTGCTCCTACTGGCGTTGCTTGATGCAAATGGGATCCACAAGAAGTGAAGAGACGCAATCTGTCAGTAATTCCCCATTTGTGAATTTATCCTGGTGATTTTCATATGTAAACTCAGACATACGTGCCAAATTAACTACACAATCGAGCACAAACTTTGGTATATCATTTAGCTTGAGGTACTCTTCATTTATATCCTTCCAGCAATCTTCCACGTCCATGTGAATGAGATTACAGGCCTCTTCTTGTGAAATGCCATATTGCTTCATGCAACATTCCACAGCTGAGGCAACATGCACTCGTTGCTGCTCAAACTAATCAAAGCAAATCCAAAAGTTCAATTAGGGGTGTAAAAACTGACAATTTTTGTTAATTAAGCCAAATCTAGGTTCATATAAATATTCTGATTTAATGAATAAATAGTTATGGATATCTCCAATTAAAACTCAAATTTCAATCAGAAATGAAATATTGGTACCTTATGTGAGGCCATGTCATCTAAGACTCTGCCAATAACTGATACAGCTTTAATGATTTTTGGATCACTAAAAATCCAATCGAATACATGTTCTGTTGCAAACTCTCCCAGGCCAATAAATGATGTTATCATTAAAGGGAAAGTAGAAGTTAAAACCCCATTAACTATATACTCATCATATGTTGGAATGTAACCCTGATGGCACCATTTTGCTTCAACCATGTAGCCTTTTATTAAGTTACTAAACTGCCGCAAAATAACCAATATACATTTATCAGCTAAACTGAATCTATAAAAAAAAGCATTCAAGTAAGAAAATAGAAATTGGAATATAATCATACAGCTTTTTTAAAATTTGGCACCACAAAGCTTGCACTCTCGGCTGTTATCAACTCCATTTCTTCGCACAATTCTACAATTGTATCAAATACTACTTTCATGCACTGTGGAAGAGATCCAATGGGACTAATATCCCATCTGAAACGAAAAAGAAAATCAATAAAAAAGGTGTTAAATAAATTTATCACGAGCTAAATGTTAATCATGTTACTTTAGTCCTCCCATTGACTATATAATATATATAACTACATAAGCTATATTTTGTGAAGCATATCAACCTCTGGATTGCTTCTGTCAAGAGTTCAAGCTCCTGAACTGTGCCAAAAGCATCATAAGTATCGTCCACGAGAGAGATAACAGCAGTCAATTTTCCGCCAAACATTCTTCCATTGCTACATGGAGGCTCGAAAGACATGGCCAACGGCCAAAGGTATGCCTCTACCAACCTCTGAAGTATGGGTACTCCAATTTTTGCAACGTACCGGTACCGGGTACGTACTGGGTACGGGTACGCATAGGATACGGCTGGGTACGTACCCGGTACGTACCCAAACACTTTTGCAAACAAAAAATAATGGGTACGTCGACGGGTACTCGAGTACGTTAATGGGGTACGGGAAATGAGAATTTTTTTGCAAAAAACCAGAAAAGTTTGTTAGGTTTTATTTAGGCCCAAAATCAACCCGTTCTCCCAATCTTATTTCGCACAGTTCACCCTCCACTTTCAGCCTCCAAATCGTGACTTCTCTCATCCTCCATCAGCGGCACAGCAACGGTGTCCAGCGGCATCCTCCATCTGCAAAACTGCTCCCGTCTTCCATTTGCAAAAAGCTAACGCCCGGCAGCATTTAGGGCAGCGTCCTTCAATTTAGTGGCGGTAGCAACGGCGTCCAGGGCAGCATCCTCCATCTGCAAAACACCAACGTGTCCAACAGCGTTCAGGGTGGTGTCCAGCAGCGGCAGCGACAGCGAGAGCGGCGTCCAGCGTAGCAGTGTCCAGCGTCCAAACCCCTTCCAACCTGCACACACCACTCTGTTCAGTGTCAACCCTCAATTGCTCCAAGGTAAATTTTAAATTTTTAATTAATCTCATGTGTTAGGAATACTAAACTTGATCTGAATTAAATAAATTAGTGATTCAAGTTTATTAATTTATTTTGTAACAGATGCAATCACAATATTCTAGTAGTGGGTCTGGTAGTGGTTCTGGTTCTAGGACATCCAGTAAATTTTCCACGGGATCAATTGAGGGTGAAAATCCTCTTTGAGGTTATGTAACTTTGCTACAAAGTAAAAAAGATGGTAGAGGAAATGCAAGTTGGAGTTGCAACTTTTGTCAAAGAACTTACAAGGGTTCTTATTTTAGAGTGAAATCTCATTTATTGAAAGAAAGGGGACATGGGATAGCTACTTGTTTATCTGTCACAGATGAATATTTACAAGAGATGAAACAACTTGAAAGAGAGGCTAGTAAAAAATCAAAGTTTGTGGATGTTCCTTTGCCTATTGGAACTACAAGTTCAAACCCCCCTATAGCTGATAGGAGCAAGAGAAGAAGAGCAATTGAAAGTCCATTAGGAAGGGCATTTAATAATGAGGCAAGAGACCATTTATCATGTGAAATAGCCAGAATGTTTTATTCTGCAGGTTTACCATTCAATATTGCCAGAAATCCTCATTTTATTAGTGCATTCACATATGCTGCAAACACTTCTATTTCGGGATTTCTTCCTCCTTCTTATAATGCTATAAGGACTAGTATGTTGCAAAGAGAAAAGGCTCACATTTTAAGGTTACTTCAGACTCGGGACCTATGTTCTTGAAAGCTATTGATGGTTCTGGTGAATATAAGGACAAGCATTACATTGCTAATTTAATTTTGTCTACAATTGATGAGGTTGGACCACAAAATGTTGTTCAAGTCATTACTGATAATGCTCCTGTTTGCAAGGCAGCTAGATTAATTGTTGAATCTATCCATCCTCATATTTTTTGGACACCATGTGTTGTACACACTTTAAATCTTGCCCTCAAAAACATTTGTGCACCAAAAAATACACCAACTAATGAGGTTGTTTATGGTGAGTGTAGTTGGATTTGTAATCTTGCTAATGATGCTTATTTTATTAGAAATTTTATAATGAATCATTCTATGAGACTAGCCATGTTTAATGCATTTGTGCATTTGAAGCTACTTGCAATTGCTGAGACTAGATTTGCCTCAACCATTATTATGTTTAAAAGATTGAGAACTATTAAGCATGGTCTCCAATCTATGGTTATTAGTGAAGAATGGTCTCACTATAAGGAGGATGATGTTGAGAAGGCTACAGTTGTGAAAGAAACAATTTTAAATGATAGTTGGTGGGATAAAGTTGATTATGTTCTAAGTTTTACAAAGCCCATTTATGATATGCTTCGTTGTTGTGATACTGATAAGCCAAGTCTTCACTTAGTTTATGAGAAATGGGATTCTATGATTGAGCAAGTGAAGTTAGCAATATATCAACAAGAGGGTAAGGAGTTGAATCAACATTCATCCTTTTATGATGTGGTTTATAACATCTTAATTGATAGATGGACTAAAAGCTACACACCTCTTCATTGTTTGGCTCATTCACTCAATCCTCGGTAAAATTTAATTAATTTAGTTTAGTCCTTTTACTTTATTTACTTTTTTTTTCAAGTTCCAATTGACTTATTTATATACTTTATAATTTGCATAATAGGTATTATTGTAGACAATGGCTTGAGGAAGCTCCAAATCGACTTCCACCACATAAGGATAATGAGGTTTGCATAGAGAGAAATAAGTGCCTTCGAAGGAAAGGTTAGAGGCAACTACTGAGTTTGTTAAATTCTCAAGTTCTTCTGAAGAGCTTGGCCAATTTGATTCTTTGCAAGATAGGTGGAACTTAAAACCAAAAGAATGGTGGGTTATGTATGGAGCTGCAATTCCTAAACTTCAGTCCATAGCCTTGAAGCTTCTTTCACAACCATGTTCTTCTTCTTATTGTGAAAGAAATTGGAGCACATATTCCTTTATCCACTCTTTGAAAAGAAATAGGCTTAATCCTAAAAGAGCTGAAGATTTAGTATTTGTACACACAAATCTTCGTCTGCTTTCAAGGAAAAGTAAGAATTATTCTGAGGGTGAATCTAGAATGTAGGATATTGGTGGAGATGAATGGGATTCAATTGAAGGTGTTGGGATTCTTGAAGTTACTAGTCTTTCTCTTGATGAACCAGATCTAGAGACAGTTATTTTTACTGATGATGGGGAAGGAAATAATGAGATTGACACTATTAAAGTTTGATTTTCTTAATTATGTTTTAGTATTATCATGTCATGTTGAACAATTTAAGTATTGTAATTTGTATTGTAAGATGTTTTATTATCTTTGTGGACAAATATATGCCTTTTTTATGTTATATAATATATGATATGTTAAAATTTGTGTGTTTTTATTTTATATATAATTTTTTATATTTTTTTAATTGACGTACCCCGTATCTTAATTTTTTTTAAAATGCTGTATCCCGTACCCGTATCCGTACCCGGTACCGGTACAGTACTCGTATCCATGCAACATTGCAACCCTTGAACATCGTTGGCGAGTGTTTCATAGAAATTTCCTCGGTCATTTTTGAATTTGTTAAATACATCTGTTCGATTTATCAAACATAAGAAATAATACCTCTTTAAGGGAATTTGAGTTTTGAGATACATATAATTACTGACGTATATATATAACTACTAGGTTAAAATAAATATTTAATTTTATATTTTAAATAAAGTAAATTTTAATTCTTATACAAATGTTTTGTTAAGCTTTAATTTTTGACAATTTAATTAACATCATTAAAAATTGTTGTTGCCGGTAAGAAATGGTAATTTAATGAACAATTTAAAAATAAGTATAAAATTTATATATATATTGTAACTACCAGTATATAGTATATTTTTCTTATTTAAATATCATGGGCGTAGCTTTATACATACCTGATGAAATTTGATATCCTTGTTGCCAAAGCAAACGAAAGAGTAAAGCAAGAGAGTGGGGATCGAAATCTTCACTGATGGCGTTATTTTTTGTGAAATTGTTATGAATTTGTTCCAATATTTGGCTAATTTCTCGTTGAAAATGATAGTAGACACCCAAACGTTGGAGTGAGTCAATGAAGTTTAACTTGTGTGTGATATTTTGATTGATTGGTGATTGAAGCATCTTTTTCACCTCGTCTCTTAGTATTTGAACATGCTGCTTCATATTGTCATTGACTTCCTGCAAACATAGTTGCATTCAATTAACCGTTGGTAGAGATCATTTGGTAAAATGTTGAATTTACATTTGTAACTGTTGTGATTAATAAAATTGTATGAGATTATTTATGATCCTGACAGCAACAGTAGTAAGAAGCTCAGATTAACATAACAATTCTGTTCTCCTATTTTATAAACACTCCAGTCCCCAATTTTATCTCTATCATATTTGTTAAGAGAGAAATACAACACTTGAAGAAAGAAAGAAGTACAGTTAAAAACTTATTTTAAGCATATAAAAATAATAAATTTTTATTAGAGGACTGATTGCAAGATAAAAAAATGTTGCAAATTTTACATCATTAAAGTACCGTTAAAAAAAAAAATAGAGATATGTATATCTGTGAAACAATGAGCGTATATATGAAGAAAATGCAAATACCATAGATTCTGAAGCATATTGAAGGAAAAAATCTCCCCACATGGAAGGAGCATAATTGACGCAAGGTCGCCTGAGATCAGACACTGCATGTTGGGTAGAAGCAAGCGTTGAAGCTGGAAGCGACATCTTAATTTCTGTTTTAATGGAAAAATGGTTTAGTTTATGTATCAAACTCCCAACTCACCCCGTGACAGAGTCTTCGACGCTTATCACCACTCATCATTTATCCTTTCTGAAATTATATTCAAATCCCCAAATTTCAAAACAAAAATAAACCAAGACAATGCATAATTGTACTATTTATACATCACATGTTAAATTATTCATAATTTCATCATAACAGTGTTTATATTGTATTAACAATTAATTTCTTTATTAGTAAATTTTTCATTAAAATTTATTTATGGGTTACAATCAATTGTGATTTTTATTTTGTTAAAAACGGACTAATATTGTGATTCATTTGACGATGTTTAAGCCTATTAATAATGTGATCAATTACTTATAGGTTTTTAACACTTAAAATTGATCTATGTGGGATATAGTGTGGGCTTAACCTCTAGGTTTATGATGGGAAGTGCCTAGGGTTAATAAATATAATGGCTAAGTCCCTATTGCCGTCACGAAAACACATTCCACTGCTCTCTAGGTTTGCTCCATTGAGAACCTAGGATTAGAAGAGCGTGATTAGGCAAAGGTAGATCGTTTACGATATAATTCACAATGTCTACAATAAGTAAGTGACTTTACTACCGCTTCACAATTGATATTTTAAATTTATATAATTAGATTCAACTCAATTTATTCATACATTTGGTATCAGAGCCTATCATTATATGATTTAGAATTCAATTATTAATTTTTAATTAATCTGAATTTAGATTAAATTACGCAATATGTATTATTTTTTTGCTGCTTAAATAGGTGATGTTCAATTCTTAAAATTATATCAACTTTTATTTCAATATTGAATTATTGCCTATGTCATTTATGTCGTTAATATATATTATTGTAATTTTATTTCTAAAATTGAATTATTGCTATTTCTAAATTGAGTTCAATGAATGAATTTAAATTCACGTCAAAGAATTTTTCAATGCCATTGTTATTGCATTGTAATATTTAATATTTTAATACCTTGAATTGAATAAATTAATTGCTACGTCGTAATACTTAATATTTCAATGCTTTTCAATTAAATATGAATATTTTATATGCTTATTTCAATTTTGCTGCGAGCATTGTTTTCAATTACACTTGCTTGAAATCTCTAATTCCAATTTAATGCGTTGCTATGTGCTACTGCTATTACCTTTGTTATTTTCAATTTCAATTTGATGCATTACTATAGTATGATGTTTTCAATTTGATATTTATGTTATTGTTATTGCAACTAATACCATATTTTTAATCCGATAGTTGCGTTATTGTTATCGTGTTTGTTACAAATTCTTCCGCTGTCGTAATGTTAATTTTTCAAATTTTGAATTCAAAATATTTTGATCCTTTTTTTTGTATTATTATTATTATTGTAATTTTGGATTACATGTATTATTCTTGTTGTCATCTTAAATTACATGTATTATGTTGCTTTCCAAAATTTGAATTTTATGATATTCTTCCATTGGGTCAATTGTCATATAAAATTTATGTATTTCAATTTTCAAATTTTGAATTCAGTATTCTACTGCATACTGTCATAATATGTGATACGTTCTTGTGATGCAAATTTTGAAGTATTATATTATGTTATGTTGTTGTCATTCATCGTTGATTTGTCAATTTTATAACTTATCAAATTTTGTAATCGCTGTTTGTATTCATTAAGGGTCAATTTTGAATCACATGTCGATTGCGTTAATATAATATATATATTATAATATTTGATTTTTTGGCTGATATCTTGTTACATTTCTAAATCTATTGATATTTGCTTCTAATATTATTTGAATATGCGTTAATAATTTTTTTTTTTTGTTTATATGTTTAACGTACATTAATTGTGGAGTTACGTAATTCAATGAGTATTTGTTTGATATAATTTAATTTTAAAATTACCTGATTCAATGTGAATGTCATATGGCCATTTTAATTTTGAATGAATCACGTTATGTGTGTGTTTCCCATAGCTAATTTTATTTATTTTTAATTATGTTTCGCAAATCAGCTCTCCATTGTTACTAGCGCTTCAATTTTAATTTTTAATAATTGAATTATTCTGCCGTTGCCTACGACAAATTACTACGCATTTTGTTTTTAATTGATTTATGTGATCTAATATTTATGCAATATCGTTAGCAATTGCAACTGCTATTGCTGAGCGCTTGCTTTGAATTATGTGATGCAATGCTATGTTGAGTTTATTGCCATATATGGATATTTTGCTGCCATATGGGTTAATAATCAAAATAAATTAAAATTTAAGTTGAAAAGAATCAAACATGATACTATGATTATGTTCGACCAACCCTAACATTATTAATTTATGTTATATATTTTGTGGTGAATTATATATTATTTTGTTTTGTATGGAATAATATTTAATCTTGCATTAATTATTATTGTTATATGTTAATATTTTGTAGTTACATATAATTGAGGAGATATGTAATGTCATTGCATGATTGTATATATATACACATTATTTTGATGTCGTGTGTTCAAATTTTTAAATTGCAATATTGATGTCGTCGCCACATACTTATTAAAGTATGTGAGCTTCTACTTTTGTTATGGCGTTTCTTATTTCTATTGTATTATAATGATGTGTTTCCAATGCTACTATTATGTTGTGCGTTAATTTTGAATAATATTTGATTCTTGAATTTTATTGTTTCTGCTGCATAGCAATTGTACAGATTCAAATTACTATACGTTTTTGTTTTTCACTGCTACTAATTCAAATTTTGAATTACATGTTCTATTGCAATTTTTTTAAATTTTGAGTTACTATTGCAATCTTTCAAATTTTGAAATTCAAATTTTGTGGTCAAAGGAGTTGATTTGTTGAAGTAGCTATTAGAGGTGATATAATGCCTAAAGTAGATAAAATTTGAACCTAGTATTTACTCATTGAGTAACTCATTTTGAAATTTATGGATGAAATTATTGAATGCAACATTGGTCTAGAGAATTTGTCTGCCCAAAGGGATAGGTTCTTAAAACCATTATATGCTTATTGAGTAACTCATCTGAGGTTCTAACCTTGATAATCGTGGTTTACGCATTTTTCCCAAAGGGAAATGTGTAATTATGTTGACCTCATTATAAGGACTTACATATTTTGAAGTTATGCATTATCATTATTACGTAATTTGATGTAAAATTAATTCATCATTATTATTGTTATAAGTTTTAGTTTCTGCTACTACAACTTAGATATTGTGTTCCTAAGAGCTCTTGTGCTCAATTCTCTTATTTGATTTTATGCAACAAAATTATTGTTAATATTTAGTTATGATTTATTAACATTTTTTTTAATATATGATTATAACCACTTGAGTATAAAATATATTGAGAATGCAATTGATAATTAATGAATGACTAATAAGAATATTGTTGGATGCGTATTTTCTTGTTGACTAAGTCATGATTTTAGACAAGAGATAATTGATTCTTGTATAAGAGTTTTCATAAATTGCTACAAGTTGTTACCACCAAAGTAAGACCATTTGTATTGATTTATGGAGAATTTTATAATTTGAGAAATACTTTTGATCCTTGCATATGATTGCCTGCCCAAAGGGGGTGATTGTATATTTGGGTTGAGAGTGGAAAATGGATGGAATTATTGGAAAATGCATTGAGTTAAGAGATTTGTCTGCCCAAATGAGACAATTTTCTGAGTTTAGTGTATACTCATGGATTAACCCATCTGAGTAATTGACCAGGGTAAATGACCTTGGTTTGTGCATTCTGCCCAAAGGGGAATGTACTATTTTACTGGCCTCACATTGATAGTTTATTATCATCTTGAGCTATACCTTGTCTTATAATTTATTCTTATGCATTCTTGTTTTTATCCTGATAGTGAATTTTCTTAGGAACAATTATTTTGTCAACTATTTGTATCATAGCAAATGAAAGTAATACTTGAAATTCTCTTTTGGAATTGTTGTTCTTGATTTAGTTTTGCGTGAGGGATAAGTCCATAATCAATTAGTAAAATACACATGAATAAAAGAAACTTTTAGCTTAGTGGGAAAAGTTTGATAGGTGAAGTTTGATTGTTATCAAGAGAATTAAATCTAGACATCTTTTAAGTGAATGGGAGTAAATAATTAGACATAACATTATTGTAATAGTTTACATTTTGGCTACATGTGAATACATTCTTTGGATTCATCGTTGAGTAATTGGTAAGAAAGTAATGAAGTACTTGCAAGGGATAGTTGACAATTTAGAGATTGTGGGATATATATATATATTCAAAGCATTTAGAGTATTGTAGTAATAATCGACTTTGCGATACATCTTTATGACGATTAGGGGATTAAAGAGTAAGAAATTGACTGTTATCGCTTTTATTGTATAAACAAAATTTATTGTTTGTTATGTTGTTGACACTTATATTGTTTGGTTAAGAAACTTGATGACAAGATTTTATATTGTGGTTTTTATTGCCTTACCATTGAAGACTTATTATTATAACGATGTTGTGTTTTACAATAAAATAAAATAAAATTACTAATGATTCTAAGTATTTAAAATGGAAATAATTTGATAGTTAAATCTTGCGAAGAAAAAATGACATATTTATTGAGTATATTAATATACAATATAAGCTAGATGATTCTTCAATTAAGAAATTAAGGCATATTATATTTGAAAAGGTATATGTTGAGAACATAAAATTATGAATTCTTTTAATATACTTAGTTAGTGGGAGTTTATCTCTTATGTCATTTTCTTATCATGTTGGACCTTTTATTTTGAACATCTTTCATGTTTGATTGACATGTATTTTATTTTATTTTGAGTAATTGATAATACATCTTTGTATATATAAGCATATTTGTTATATCAATTGCCAAATATAAAACTCAGTGTTGTTAGAGTCATTGTATTTATGATTGACACAGTATTGAAGTTTAGACATGATCAAATTTTAAGCTCGGTATCATTAAGACCACTATACCAGTGGTTGATGCCATTTGGAGCTGAGGTA